TAAGTTAAGATGTTAATTGTAATTCCCAGGGCACCATTAAGAAAATAACTTTTAAAATATGGTAAAAGAAATGATAAGGAGGGTCACCTGGGTGGCTCAGCTGGTTAAGCATCTGGCTCTTGATTTCGGCTCAGATCATGATCTCATGGGTTCATGAGTTTGAGCCTTGCATAGGGCCCTGAAATGACAATACAGAGCCTGCTTGGGATTTTTCTCTCTCCCTCCCTCTCTGCCCCTTCCCGGCTTGTTCTCTCTCTCTCTCTCTCTCTCTCTCAAAAAAATACATAAAACTTAAAAAGTAATGATAAGGAAATTTAAATACTATATGAGAATGTATCTATTGGCAGTCATAGAGGAAATGAGTAGCAAAAATGACAACATATAGAAAAATAAATAGCAAAATAACAGATGTAATTCCTACCTTCTCAATAATTACATTAAATGCAAATGGATTAAACACTCCAACTAAATGGAGACATTGGAAAATGGATAAAATTACATGATCCAACTGCATTCTTTCTAAAAAAGACTCACTTTATATTTATTTTTATTTATTTTTGGGATAGAGAGAGACAGAGCATGAACGGGGGAGGGGCAGAGAGAGAGGGAGACACAGAATCGGAAACAGGCTCCAGGCTCTGAGCCATCAGCCCAGAGCCTGACGCAGGGCTCGAACTCACAGACCGCGAGATCGTGACCTGGCTGAAGTCGGACGCTCAACCGACTGCGCCACCCAGGCGCCCCTCACTTTACATTTAAAGATGTGAATAGGTTGACAGTAAATGGACTGAAAAAGATATACCATGCAAATGGTAACTAAAAGAGAGTTGGAGTAGGTATATGAATACCAGACAATATAGATTTTGAGGCCAAAATTCTTACTATAAACAAAGGACTTCTTTTTATAATGCTAAAAGAGTCAACCTATCAAGAAAATATAACAATTATAAACAGATATGCATCTAACAACAGAGCTTTAAAAAACATGAAGCAAAAACAGACATAATTGAGAAAGAAAATAGACAATTCAACAATAGTTGTTGAAGACTTTACCTTGATGGATTAGGTGGAAGATGACAAGGAAATAGAACACTTGAGCAGCACTATAAATCAAATAGACTTAACAGAATCTGTAGAACACTCCACCCAACAATAGCAGAATACACATTCTTCTAAGCTCATGAGTAATTCTCTAAGACCATATGTTAGTCCATAAAAAAGGTATTAGTTTCCAGTGGCTGATGTAACAAATTGACACAATCTTGATAACTTAAAATAATAGAAATTAATTCCCCTAAAATTTTAGAGCTTAGAAGTCTAAAATCAGTACTATTGACCAAAATCAAGGTGTGGACATGGCTGTAACCCCTCTCCAAAATCTCTAGAGAATCCATTTCTTGCTCTAGCATCAATGCTGGTTGCCAGCATTTTTAGCTGATGGCCACATCACTTCAATCTCTGCCTCCATCTTAACATTACCTTTAACATTTACCTTTACCTTAACATTAATTTTGTAGTCAATTTTTTTCCGCCTCTCTCTTATAAAGATACATGCTATTATATTTAGGGCCCACCAGATAATTCAGGATAATTTCCTGATCTCAAATCCTTAGCTTAGTCACATTTGCAAAGATCCATTTACTGAAGAAAGTAGCATTTACCAGTTCCAACAAATAGGACAAATCTCAATAAATTTCAAAGGATTGAAATCATACAAAGCTAGTACTCTAGCCACAGGAGAATTAAATTAGAAAATAATAAACTGGGGGTGCCTGGGTGGCTGAGTCGGTTAAGCATCTACTCTTAGTTTCAACTCAGGTCATGATCTCATGGTTTGTGAGTTTGAGCCCCACATCGGGCTCTGCACTGTCAGAGCAAAGTCTGCTCAGGATTCTCTCTCTCCCTCTCTCTCTGCCCCTCTCCTGTTCTCTCTGTCTCTTTCTCAAAATAAGTAAATAAAGTTTAAAATTTTTTTAAAAATAACAGAAGGAAATTTGGGAAATTCACTAACATATATAAATTAAACAACACATTCTTAAATATATGATGATTCAAAAAGAAATCACAGGCAAATTATAAAATGCTTTGATATGAATGAAAAACAAACAAAACTTAATGGGATGCAGCAAAAGCAGTGCCCAAAGTAGACACAAAAATCCACCCCCAAATTCTAGCAAACTGAATCCAGCAATATATAAAAAGGATTACGCACGAAAACCAAGTAAAATTTATCCCGGGAATGCAAGATTGGTTCAATATACAAAAATCAGTGACTATAATACACCATTTAAATAGAGTAAAAGACAAAAACCACATGATTGATCCTATCAATAGATGCAGAGAAAACATTTCACAACATTCAATACTCTTCCATGATAAATTCACTCACAGATAAAGAACAGAAGGCAACATAATCTCATAAAGCATATCTGAAAAAATAAAAAAACAAAAACAACCCAGAACATCTTATGTAATGGTGAAAGCCTGAAAGCTCTTTCTCTAAGATCAGGAACACAGCAGGGATTTCCACTCTTGCCATTTCTATTCACACAAAACAAAAGAAGAAGCAGAGGAAGGAGGAGGAGGGGAGAAAAGGGAAGAGAGAAGAAAGAATCACGGGAGTAGCAGACAGGAGGGAGAGGAAGGGAAGGAAGGAAAGGAATCCAGGCTGGAAAGTGAAACTCTCTATTTACGATGACATGTATCATTAATGGAAAACTCTAAGGAGTCCACATGCACAGAGGGAAAAATCATTATTAGAGCTAATAAACAAATTTAGCACCGTTGCAGTATACAAGATCAACACATGAAAATAGGTTGTGTTTCTATACATTAGCAATGAGCGGTCTGAAAAGGAAACTAAGTCTCACTTACAATAGCATCAAAAAGAATAAAATACTAAGGAATATATTTAATCAAAGAAGTACAAGATTATACACTAAAAACTACAAATCATTGTTGAAAGAAATTAAAGCAGACAAATAAGTGGAAAGACAGTCTATGTTTATAGATTATAAGCCTTAATGTTAAGGTGGCGATATTTTCTAAATGATCTACAGGTTCAGTAAAATCCTTAGCAAAATCACAACTGGCTTCTTTAAGTAGCAATGGACAAGTTGATCCCAAAATTCACATAGAAATGTAAGGGAACGAGAAAGCCAAAATAATCTTTAAAAAAGAAGATCAAATTCGGAGGGCTCCCACTTCCTGACTTCAAAACTTACTAAAACTACAGTAATCAAGACAATGTGGTCCTGGCATGAAGATAAATAATTGAGAAATTAACTCTCACATATACGGTCAGTTGATTTGCCAAGACTGTTTAAAAGGAGAATGAATAGTCTTTTCAACAAATGGTGCTGGGACAACTGGATACATACACGCAAAAGAATGAAGTTGGACCCCCTATCTTACATCACATAGAAAAATAAGCTCAAAATGGATGGAATACCTAAAGGTAAAAGCAAAATTACAGAACTCTTAGAAGAAAACGTCAGTGTTTTCTTCTTGAATGGGGCAAGTTTCCCAGATATGACACCCAACGCACAAGCATTCGAAAAAAGAATGAATGAATGAATGAATGGATGGATGGGTGGGTGAATAAAGATAAATTAGACTTAATGAAAATTAAAAAGTTTTGTGCCTCAAAAAACATTATTAAGAAAAGGAAAAAGCAATCCATAGGATGGTATATTTGAAAATCATATATG